ATAAACAATGGAAAATGGATGCTTACCAGAAACATCCATCCTGATTCCAGTCCCAAGCCCATGAACACTCGACCAACACCCTTCGACCAATTTGCTAATGTTTCTAAACCTAATGCTCCCTGCTCCAAAAATCGAACCTTCGCCCAACTCTATATGAGCCTAACCTGTGCATTGAAGGTACTGATGGAGAAAGGGTATCTCAAACCGCTTAATTCTCAACCTCTCCCCAATCCTCTCCCACCTAAACATAACTCTACCCAATATTGCGCATTCCATCGGCAGTACAGTCACCATATTAACCGTTGCTTTCGCCTTCGCCATGAAATTCAAGGCTTAATTGACAATAAGGACATCACTCCACCTAAAAATTCCAAAACTGTCAATAACCCTCTCCCTGACCACAATAGATTGCCACTTCATAACATAGAATCCATACACAGCTTGCCAACAACCAACCATTACCCTAGCCAACATAACATACCCGCCAATGAGCCCAAACCCATTGTGTTCATTCCTGAATCTTTTGATTCCGATCTGAGCAAAAGGAACAAAATCTTTGAAGAGATGGAAAGTTTACTTGATCTTGGTGAGTTCAAGCTTGATGAAACAGTGATGTTAGCACTGGTGGTTGGAATGAAGAATCTCAGTCTCAGCTAGGGTAATTGTTAAAAGCACTTGGGAATGACCTTTTGAACTAGGGGCATTGTGTGAAAAAGCAATTGTTTCGGTCAAGAAGATGTGTGGAGACAACGTAATTGTGAGGCTTAGCCAGTGAGACTCAGTTTAAAAGTCTGAAATCAATCCTTCTGTGTAATGACCCCAAAACATGTGTCATATTTATCAGTAATTAATTATGAGTTTATGCGAATTAATTGAAGAATATCTGTTTGAATTAGAAGAATATCTGTTGAGATGAGAACTTTGGGACTGAAATTGATAACCGTAATGGGTTCAGAAAACGAAATTGAGCACGCCTATGTGATACTGGGAATTATTATAACCATTTGGGAAAATAAATTGAGGACTGAATTTCGTCTGATTCGTTAAGCCCCGTTTGGCTTGAGGTTATGGCACAATTTTATAAATATGACTTAAGATAAGGATGTTGACCATGTATTGACTCAACAAAAGAGGAAAGAAAATATCTAAGAGAGAGAGAGAGAATTCGTGGAAGAGAGAAACCAAGGAGAAGAAGATAGAGGAAAAGGGGGAAATCAAGCTTAAATCTTCCTCAATTAAAGAATCAAGGTAAGGATCTTCTCTAAATTCTTGAAGTAAGGTTGATGCATCAATGATCTCATGGTAAATAAGAGATTGGAAGGAGAAATATGTTTAATTTGAGCATGTATGGCATGAATAGATGATTTATGTTTATATTTGGCATTCTTGAGGAAGAACCTCCATGGATATGAAGAAATAAAGCTTTTACATGAATAGTTATGATTCTTCACCTCAATTCATGGTTTGATCTTGTATATGATGCATTTGGGTTTGTTTAGAAGCTATAATGTGTAATTCAAGTTGTGTTTCAAGTATTTTGGGTCTTGGATTTCATAAATGTGGAAAGTGATTTTGTAAAGAGGAGATTCAAGCTTGGAAGAAGAACCAGAATTTTGGATTTTTGCATGGTCCGCTCGAGCGGAGGGATTCCCGCTCGAGCGTGAAAAACAGCCTCCCAGCAGTTTGGGACTTTTTACAGTACGCTCGAGCGGCCAAAGTGGCGCTCGAGCGGGAAGGCCTTCTTCAGGAAAATTTTGGGGAAGTTGCAGACTTGATTTTAACATGTTAATTGCATCATTTATCATCTTATAAACATGAAATGAAGTAAAGGAAAGAATGAAGTGCATGAATTACAGGATTTAATGATAATGTGTATTGAGAAATGTGTAATATGTTGATATTTGCAGGTCAAGATTTGAAAACCGTGCAACCGATTTTGGAAACCCACTGTGAGTAACATTTCTGTAAAGATATGTTATTATGAACTATGTTTTAAATGTATTACGTTATGCTATGCTTTGAAATGAGAATGTTTTCCGTGAATGAATGTCCTGATTTGCGAATCTAGTATGGCATCCATAGATAGTTGGGTCGTGGGGGCGGGAACATGCAAGCCCATGCGTCATGAGTCATGGGGAACGGCATGGAAGGACAAGCCCATGACTAGTTACAAGATCTCGTAGACTGTTGACTGATAGACTGTTATGAAAGGTTCTGTGGAGTATGCCATTACGTATGTTCTTATGATGACTGATGACTGATATATGTTTATGATTGATTTATTATGGATTTATGAAAATGTCGGACTTCGTTCACCAACCTCTTTACTGTTATGTTACTTGCTGAGCTCTAGCTCATTGTTTGTAATTATGTATTATAGGTGAGCATTCTGGAAGTCAAGCCTAGGCGAGTTCTCGAGCCGAGCCGCTGTTTTGAAGCCTAACAAGTGTTTTGTGTGCTCCGAGCCGGGGCTAGGCCTAGAAGGCCGTTTTGTGAGCTTTGTCTTGTTGTATCTGTGGCTTTTGCCTATGTGTTGTATATGATCTTTTATTGTATGTGATGTAATGTAGTGGGTAAATTAACATTTTTGGCATGTAATGTATGTTCCTATAAATGCACAGCTCTTTGGACTATTAGTGATTATTGTTTTCGCTTCCGCGAGCCCTTATATCTATGTTTTGTATAGCAAGGCCTGTGGTAATCTAGGATTACTGGCCGGTCTCGTTGCCAAACTTCTAAGGGCGAGTTTGGGGCGTGACATTCTGGGTGTGGATGTGTATTGCTGAATTAAAGGCACGTCTGGACCTTCACGTGGGCTATTTGAAGCAGTTTTTGAAATTCTACAGATGGACTTGAAGAAGGGAAATCCCATTTTTGTCTCAGAAATGCTTATTTTGTTTTGAGTTATGTCCTGCAAATAGTTGTATTGTGAGTTTTATAATATGTAGATATAGATATAAATTATGTACTAAATATTTAGGGTGATTTATAAGAGCTCAGTTTTAATATAGTTAATATTGATATATAATACATAAATTATACTATGTAGTGTGTATCTCTTATAGGGATATCAAATAAATTATTAAAATTGACATAAATCAATATTTACATAAATAATATATATATATATATATATATTAGGTTAGAGAGCATAGATTGTGAGAAGATATAATGTGAATATTTCCAATTTAAAAGTCATAAATCATGCATTTTGAAATCCATAAATCAAGAGACAATTACCTTTTAAATAATTAATTAAATAACTTAGCCAATAGGCTTTTTTTGTAATCTATTTGGTAAACTAAAAATTCAACAGATTTAGGATGGAACTTTGAAGTCCTCATAGGCCTCCTCATTAGAAACCTCCTTTTCCTAACATAATATATATATATATAGAGAGAGAGAGAACACTATAATAAATTAATATTTTAAAGGCAAAAATTTAGAGACCGAATCATTTTTTAGAGATGAAATATTTTAGTTGCCAAAAGTGTATTGTTGTATTCTTAATAATGAAATTGGACATTTAATGATAATTACTATTCTTTAAGTAAACATTTTTTACACCAAATTATTTTGTTATTAGCGACATTTTCAAAATTTTATCTCTAAAGATTTTTTTTTTAAAATTATTTTTCGGAATAGCCTTTTAGCGACAACTGAAATTACTCCCTCCAATGTTTTTTGTAACAAAATTTCCATTTTTGAGGACCAAAAAAAATTAAAAAAATGGTCCTTAAAACTTTAATACACTGTATTGTGGGGGTAAAATTATATTTTCATCTCCCATAAGATTGAATTGTCAATCTCAACCCTCATGGGAAGCTAATCATACTTTTGAGGGATTAGCAATCCCATAAGACTCTTAATATTATAATATTTTTCCTAACCATGATTTATAGGGCCATATTTAATTATTAATTAAAACTCATGGAGCTAAACAAATTGTTCTTAGAGCCAAACACAAAATTAACCATTTTAAATAATATTGACGATACATATCACATGTTGCCTACTACTAAAGAGATTCCTCTACTCTCATCATTCTAAATGTAATTTTATGTGACTAATTTTGTGATTAATTTTGACAGAGTATGGATAATTGGGCTCAATGAGGTGTTGGGTTCGAATGGGCTTGATATGAGGAGTTCGAAACTTGAGAATGAGCCGAGTTGTGGACTTAAAGGAAAGTGAGCCTCATTAAGAAATGCTCTGTCATTCTAGCTAGCACAAATCGACAAAAATTGTTAGAGTAGTATCACTGTCGGAAGACGCGTACAGGCATCGCAGAAAGAGGAAACCAAACCACTTACCTAGTACATACTGGTCACCTATAAATACCCAAAGATAGCTCCGATTAAGGTAAGCAATTCAATGAATAAAAAGAGTATACGAGTAATCGATGAATCTATTACTCATCAGAGAATCTGTAGCCAACATGATAACCATTGTTCTTGAGGTTTTGTTTCTTTCAAGTTACTAAAGCTCTAATTGATATCTGTTTTAATTGACTTTTTATTTTTTACGAAAAAATGTGTAGAAAAATAATAGATTCATAATTCCCAATATTAGAAAAAGTTTCATATACAATCAATTATTGTAAAACTTAGTTCTTCTATTTAGACAAAAATCAATCACAAAATCAGATATAAATTTTTCACATTAACGTGAATCCTACAAAAACGTGAGACCCACCGAGATAAGAAAATTGGATTCGATTCTTCAATCAATTTCTGTATATTACAATTTTGTAAGTTGAAAAAAGAAAAAAAGAAAAAAAGAAAAAGAAAAAAAAGGAGAACCAGCTCTACCTTGGGGACAGTTTTGTCTTTCTATAAACAGACAAAAATTATTTTAGTATTCGTACACGAGCGAAATAAGAAACTTTAATTTATTTATTAAAATATTAATTTATGAGGGGAAGTTTCAGACTGAGGAGATCCGAAATTTCTCTCTTTTCGAATCTAAAAAACTTAAATCGTGAAAAGAAACGAAAAGTAAGAAAGAGAGACAGACACAAACAAACCCAAAAATTAAAAAATTAAAAAAAAAAAAAATTACCCTTCTCGAAATTCTCTTTTGGGTAGAATTTCACATTGATTCCTCATAAATGTACCTGCCTCTCTCTGTCTCTCTCTGTGTAATTCTTTTCTCTTCGATTTCCATTCATTGATCAATCACAAAACTCTCCTTGGGTTTGGTAAAAAATCACCACACTGTTGATTTCAATAGACTATTTCGATCGATCGATCTTCAATACCCAGTTCTTAATTCAGCTTTTTAGATAGAGAATCTTAAAGGGTTTTCTATAAATATACAAACTTATATATATATATATATATATTGGGTTGTGATTGTTGTGTGATTATCAGGCATCGATGCCGGATAATCGTCAGGTTCAGAGCAATGGTGGTGTGTCCAATTCATCCAATCCATCAATCGACAACGTGGAAGGTGAAATTTCGATTTTGTTCACAAAACCCAGACATGCTTGAGTTTAAAGCAATGATCTTTTTAGCGTATGATCATCGTTTTCTAGTAGTTGTTTTGTCGTTTTTATCGTCATCATCATCATCTACTTTTATTATTAATAATACCCATGTTTCAACTTGTTCACTTAACTTTCTTTCCTTGTTTGTTTTTGTTTTTGATTTTATTTATTTATTGATATTAATGAATCTTTCTATTTGTTTCTCTCTAGATGGTCGTAATATTGATTTTTATTTATGTATGAGATTTGTATGTATGTGTACACACATGGATGTGAACATAGATATAATGTATGTGTGTTGGGTGCTTTGAGCCTGTGTCGAGTGTTGATTTTGGGCATTCAATGCATTGTAGAGACTATTCGGAGATTGAAAATCTCGACAAATGATGATAATCAGGACAGTGGTGCGGTGGCCAATTCCTGCCCCTACCCAGATCGTCCAGGGGAACCCGATTGCATATACTATTTAAGGACTGGGTTGTGTGGTTATGGAACCAATTGTAGGTTTAATCACCCTGCTACTTCTGGGCAGGTAAATAGATTTCTTTAATTCTGTTTTTTCTTGTTATTGGCAATCCTGTTTGATTTGAAGTTAATGATTTTTAATTGTTTTTAGATAAATTACTTATGTTTATGTATAGGGTGTTCAGTACAGAGGTGAACTGCCAGAAAGAGTTGGACAACCCGACTGTGGGGTAATTTTTGCCGTCAATCAAGAATTGTTCTGTATTTACCACATTCGATTCCCATATCACCTTTTGTATTAATTAGGTCTTTTATGTGTTTTTGTATGACTTGATGATATATAAGCATTATACAAAACAATTACTCAAGATTTTGTTAGCTGAAGAAACAACTACGTAATTGAACAAATGCAGCATATTTTGGAGAAATAAGATCTTTTCATTTTTTTTTTTCCCATCAGAATTTACTTCAGATAAGGGGTTTGAACTGTAATATAAAGAGTAACATGGTTAATTAAGTTGTTTGATTGGTATTCCAATTTTGACCAGTTGTTTACGGTAATATTTCCTTCATGCTCACTTTTGTCTTTTTTGGTTTTATTATGAAGTTTTGATGTTGAGTATTTGTGTTTTAGGATGTTAATGTTACTTTCCTCGCATAAATTTGAGCGGTAATCAAGTTTGTTTGAGCATTAAGCTCTGTTTGGGAAGTGGCATTTGGCTAAAATATGAGGTGAAAAAAACAATATATTTGAGAAGGACATTTTAGCTTTTTACGAAAAAATGTGCAAAAAGTGTAGTAAATGAGAAGGAATCTTTGACTTTGTAGAGTGAATGGAAAGGAGTTTTTGACTTCTTTGTATGAGTTGAAAACTTTTTGGCTTTTTTGGTGGCTTTTTGGCTAAAATAGCCACTTGCCAAACGGAGGCCAACTTGGCAACCAATCGTGTAGGATACCTGCATTCTCATGTCATTTACATGTCACCTATGAAAAAACATGTTGTAATTGGACTCTGTAAAATCTACTGAGCTGGAATTTACATGCTTTTGTGGACACATTGTCTTAATTCTGATTCTGTTGTCACTTGATTGAGCTTGAAGGATAATTTCAGAGGCTTCAGAGTTTATATTTTTATGTTGCCTAATTGAGTCAAGCTTTTTCTGCATATGCACATATGTCCTCTTTGTTTCAATTGAAGCTGATCTAGTTAATTTACTCACAATCTTATGATGCTTTATTTCATATAGTAGAAACCATGCAGATGTTTCTGTGAAAAAAAATATAAATTTTGGTTCGGAACCAAGGACAAATTATAGTGTGAAATAGATTAATGCCTAATATATGTTGATTTCTCCAAAGTTGTTTTAATTACTTTGTGATAAGTAAAATAGATTACAAGTAATAGGGTAATAGTGTTTTTTTTTGGTGATGCGTTACGTTTTATGGAAATTTTATTGATTAATCATTGTCTACTTTTGAATGTGCATTGCAGTATTATCTTAAGACAGGAACTTGCAAATATGGACCAACATGTAAATATCATCACCCACGGGACAGGCATGGTGCTGGACCTGTGCCATTGAATGTTTTGGGGCTACCCATGCGCCAGGTGCTTATTTCACTCTCTCATGAGGCTCCTCCTACTTATCTATCTATGTCCTAGCAGTTGCATATATTGCCATATTTTTGACTTGTTTCCCACTTATTTATAATTTCAAGCTATAAATCATATATCTATTCTATCACATAAAGCGTAAACCGTATTTGGTGTGAACGCTATCGCATTTTCCCCCCTCCTCCATATCAAGTAACTATCACATCCAATAACTACTAAACGATTTTCTTATTCATCAAACCATCCAAAACTGCCAAATGATTTTCCTTAATTCATCAAAATGCCAAAAAACTTAAATGAAAAATTGCAAACACATCATCTTTGCGCCTTTATTTACTTTTTTCTATTGATTTTTCTCAGGAAGAAAGGCCATGTCCTTTTTACATGAGAACTGGATTGTGTAAGTTTGGAGTCGAATGCAAGTTCCATCATCCTCAACCTGTGACCGCTGGAACTATGTTACCCATTCCTGGACCTGCTGCCTATGGATCTTCAGGCTCACCAATTGTGGCTTCGTCTGGTCTACATTATGTAGGAGGAGTTTCAGCATTGTCATTACCAAGGGCACCATATATATCTGGTACCCATGTACAAGGCCCCCAGACCTACATGCCTTATATTGTGTCTCCCTCTCAAGGCATTGCACCTACACATGTCTGGAACACTTACCTGGTCAGTGAATATCATCTTATATGGAAAGAAGCTTGATATGAATTTGATCTTAATTTAATGCTATTTCTCACTAAGGAAATTCACTTGGTGTTTACACACTTTTATTCATCATTTTAAAGTCAAACTTGTATTCCAAAGTTGGATTTATTTATATCTGTTGCTTTTAATTATGGTTCTCTATCTACACTTCCCAGACCCCCATCCAATGGGGGGACTAAACATGGCGTACTTTTTTTATTTTTTTATTTTATTTTAATGTTTCTATAGTTCTGATGAGAAGAACTCTTGCATTGTACACACACAAATTTTAACTGCATCTATTTATCATTGAACCAACATGACAATGTTCTCAGAAATGTAGCACCTATATCATCTCACTTATATCATCTCTCACAGTCACATTGTTCAAAGAAAAATTTAAGTTCATCCTCTTGAATGTTACTATTCAGTATTGGACTGCTTTCTCAATAGTGATTAGTGACTAGAGTGCTACTGATTTTCTTGCGTTGCATAAACATTAACTTAGTGATCAGTGATTACTCCTCACAAACTTTTTGTGATTTGAGGCATTCCATCTCTGAATGGGCTGATAAACTTCATTATCATTGCTTCTGCTTCTCATTAGGGCAGTGTGCTTTTAGCCTAGAAAAACATCGACTATTCTGCAATTGTGATGATTATCATTTATCACCAGTAAGATGAATATGTTTACTCACCTCTTGTCATCCATTTTATTAATTGGAAAGGTAGCCATACTTAGGTTTTCGTTATTTGACTGTCACAAATTTATTAGAGATTGTCTTCTACTTCATTTCTCATGCGTGGTTTTTCTGTGAAAATCAAGTGGATATTGCAGTAGAAAATTGATGCATCACACTCTACAGCTCCAGTACATATATATTATGCTAATGGAGATCATATTGCAAGCTGATTTCCATAAATGAGGAAAATCACTGGTGTGGATATATTGCTAAAGAAATAATGTGAAGACATGAGAATGGCTTGAGTTGGGGACATCAGAAATAGTTCTTATTTTTTGGTATATGAGGATGGATTGAACTGTAGTGGAAACATTGCATATATAATCATTTGGTTTATGCATCTCTCTTGAATTTATTAAGTTCTAGGACCCAGAAATAAGCCATGCCAGACATTTTTGCATCTGGTTATAACAATATCTGGAATGCTCATCAGTTTGAAAAAATGGAATATGGTTCTCTCGGGATTTTTTTTGTTTGTCGCCACCAGTCCACTATTCTTTGTTGTGAGGATTGTGTAATTAATCTTCTTGGGCTAACAGGTATGGTTTTCCCTGTGTGAAGGGGTTTGATGAAGAATTACCTAACAGGGGTTTGATGAAGAATTACTCGGGCCCTATCACGATCTCTTAGTTCATTTAAGTATTTACTATTAAGCATTGCCTATGAGAAGTAATGATTGATACTCTGTCAATTCCTACTTCGGTGTGAAGTTCTTTGTCACCAATGGGGGTTGGTCCAAGTGGAAAGGGACTTGGGTCGCTTAAGCAAAGGTCTCGAGTTCGAGCCTTTGTGGATGCAGCAAACCCTCTTGGGAGAGGACCCCGCATTTGCGTCCGGCAGCTTCCTCGGCGGATTAGTCGTGGGTCCAAAAAAACCTAGGGATACCGTGGGAGACCTAAAAAAAAAAGTGGAGTTCTTTGTCATTTACTCCTCTAAAAGCATCTCCAGCACTACTAGTTCTCTTGGAGAGCATACCTCCTTGTTCTTCTTCTGCTATATTGAGCATACACATCCACCTACACAAGTCAAGTACACTTGCATACTATTCGTATGCGCATGTAGCTGATTTATGGCTCAGTTTTCATTGAGCTCATGGTGATTGAGTCTTCACGATGTATTTAATAGAACGTATAGCTGATCCCTCTCTGCACAGAAGGGGGATCTTATAAGTTTGGAAGACTGTAGTTGGTTGAAGTGTTTCTCAATTATCTGCTCTTTCAACTTTTAACTGTCCTTATATGTGTGTGTATATATATATATATGTATAGTGCAGTGTGTTACAAACTTACAGTCTTGAATTGTTGTGGCCTAAAATGGTCGAATGAGTCACATTGATGAGCTTCCTTGTGCAATTTGTAGTTTTTAGTCTTGTTATTTGTGAACTGGTTGTGCAAACAACGTGTAATTGCATTATGTGGTTGCCAAAACACCGCGTAATGTTTTGCATATGCAGGGTCTGTGTATACCATGTGATTGTTCAATTAAATGACTAACAACTTTTTCTAGCATGTTCAATGGGTTACATGAGTCAGACTGATGGTTTTTATTGAAGGGGAAAGTTGCAAAGTAGATGGTTACCAATATATTGAATGATTTTTCTATATATTATACCTTCCATTAAATCTATCTTTTTATCATATCTTCTTTATGTGCATTCTGTTAATTAAACGTCTTTGGCATCATCTAAGATTTTATGTTATTGCATTTAAACGGGATGATATTTTGAGAAATCTGGTATGAGACTTTTTATAATTGGTTTCTAGTGTTTTAATGTCAAATAGGGATGCATGAGCCCTGGACCTTCTACAAGTTTTGTTGGATCTGATCTTGTTTACAACTCCAAGAATCAGGGTGAGTCAGGTTCGAGTGGCCTGTTAAACTCCATTGCTTATCTACCTGAGAGACCAGATCAACCAGAATGCCGGCATTTCATGAGCACTGGAAGCTGCAAATATGGATCTGAATGCAAGTACAATCACCCGAGAGAAAGGATTCCTCAATTGGCAACAAATTCTTTAGGCCCGCTTGGGCTTCCATTGAGACCTGTAAGTTGTATATTTATTTCACACCCGTCAATTTTTCTCAGTTTTGGTACTCCCTGTATTCAGAATAGCTTTAGGAAAGTATTTCATTGACTAAGTTGAGTGTTGATGTCGGATTGAGTTCCACCATTTCTCTTGAAATCAATTGTTGTTAGGGAGGGCTCACTTTTGTCTTCTATGGCATTTGATATCGTGCCCCCAAACCTGTTTTTAGAACGATCGTAGGGAGGGTCTTTGTGTTCCCAACAATCCTCCCTCACGATGATGCTCCTACAAGGCTACAACTCGAACCCGTGACAATTTGGCTCTGGTACCACTTACCGAACCAAGTCTCTCCTAAACAATTGGTGTTAGGGAGGGCTTTGATATCATGTCCATGTGCCTGTTTTTAGAGTGGTCGTAAGGAGCGGCATTGTGTACCTAACAATCCCTCCATCACAATGACACTTCGGCAACTTGAACACATGACAACCTGGCTTTGATACCACTCATCAGATTGAGTTGTTCTGCCATCTCTCCTAACACCAATACCAATTGGTATTAGGGAGGGCTTCACTTATGTTTATTATGACATTTGACATTGCGCTTGTAGGCCTGTTTTTAGAGCAGTAGTAGGGAGTGACATTGTGTATCCACACTGGATAAATTTTGTTGTTGTGAAATCGTTCTGAATGATTTGGGACTGCAAGCTATCTGCTACTGGTAGTATACCGGTCTTACTGAATCGTAAAATTTGGTTGTATGTTTTATTTTGTTTAATCTACCCATAGTTTCTGACTCCATGACTTTTCAAAATGCAGGGGCAAGCTGTTTGTTCGTACTATAGCTTGAATGGACACTGCAAGTATGGCCCGACTTGCAAATTTGATCACCCTTTGGCTGGATTTCCTTATAACTATGGCGGTTTGAGTTATTCGACTGTCTCTGTATTTGATCCATCTTATTACCCATATCAAAGAAATTCAACCACTGTCCTCTCCTCAGAAGCATCTCCCTCTAAATCTAAGGCTGCAAGCAACAAAAATCAGAACACGGATACTGAAACTCTTGAAAATCCATCAGAAAAGGCTGGTTCTCCATCACATCCTTTGCCAGCTTCTTCAGAACCTCGACACAATGAATCTGATTGATTTTACTACTTTCTTTTTTCCTCATTTTTCCATTTCGCCCGGCTGAGTTTTTTTATCAGACAAAATATTTAATGACTTGTGCCTCAAGGTCCCCTTTTCACCTGCGGTTCTATGTGTGGATTCAATTCAATGTGACTAGGGAAAGCAGGGAGGTTGTAGAAGGCTCTCTCTCTCTCTCTCTATTCATTTTTTTTCTTCTTCTTCTTTCTTTCTTTTTATTTTTTTTTTTTTTTTTTTTTTTGTGGTGAATAAAATGCAGGTGATGAGTTGTAAGATTCCCATTTTTCCCTCTTAGAAACTGTTCAAGGGATTGTTGTTGAATGTGAGAGCTTGGCATTTTTTATGACTCCACACCTGTTAGTTTTATATGATATGAACCATTAAATATAGGGAGGGAAATTAGGGTTTATTTGGTTGTGTTTTCGTTTTTTTGTTTTATGTTTTCATTTTTTATTTTTGGAATACACAATTTTTGAGATGGATGATTCAGTAAGATTACGTATGTAGAGCTCCTATTTTGGACTTATTTGTCATGTTTTGTGGTTTGTTTTCCATATTCTAGTAGCTTGCTTTGAACAAGTTTAGATATCTATCTGAAACTGCCATTTTTAGGTAGAAATGTTGCTGCCACTTTTTCCTTGTTCTCAAATTTTTCTTGGTTACCAAATGCCAAAATTCTTAAATCCGAACAGTTTTAAACTTATTATTTTGGAAAAATTATTTATAAGTCTTATTTGGAAGACTTGTTTAATGTGAAGTCCTATGAATATTCTTTTAGAGTATGAAGTCCTATTTAAATATGAATGTGTTTCATAAGATCCTATGAGTTATAAATGAATGATATTAGTGTATTATTATACCAGTAATTTGTTTTGATTTTATACCTTATTTTTTCATTCATCATATCACGTTTGGGAAGGTTTTTATAAAAGACAAGTTTACAGGTAATGACCGTGTGAGTTTTTTTCACTTTGATCGCTGGATTTGAGTGCATTTTCAAAATGTTGCTTAAATGGATGTAGATATGATTGATGGGTCGTTACACACTCCAAATATAAATACTAAATTATATCAAATTCTTTTTGAATAATGACAAGTCCAGGTATTGATTTACATGGACAATTGTGAAATTAAATTAATTTAAATGCTAAATTCTTAAATTAATTTTGATTAAAAAGATTGATGGATATTATGACTAAACAAGAATTAAAAAGTAATTGAATAATTAAATTGACAATTAAAATTAGGGTTTGAGATATTAAGTTTTGAGAAAAATCTTGGGGTAAAGAATTCATTACTGACCACATAAATGAGATTTAACATCGGTCATCAATTGCAATCCGGTTTGAAGTATCCAATACTTCACAACTACAAGTTTGAAATATTGATCAAGAGCGTTGTCGCATTCAACGTACAGGCACGAATCATTCCAAGTAGCACGAGGCGTTTGCTCTAAACTATAGTAACAACACGACCTATCTCTTGTAGCATAACTCGTCTCGTATTTTAAATACAAACACAAAGAAAACTAATGTATGGAAAGTATTAAATAATCATAGAGAGTAAAATACTTGAAAAGATGAAAAGAACAATTCTTATAAACTTCTAAAACGTCCATACATTTATTCAAACCGTTTCACAATCAAAACTTAAGAAAAATCCCTTTACATGGCTAGGGTTTCATCAAAACCTTAGAAAAGAAGAGCCTAGCCACTCATAGAGGAGTGGGAAGAGATGGAAGACGAAGAAGCCCCTATGAAAATTCTCCTTGAAGCTTGAGGAAAGCCACCTTTTCAAAACCCTAGCCTCTCTATCTTTAGAATAATTTTTAAACCCTAATACAGCCTCTTTTCTGTCCTTTTATATCCTGGCTCTCTTTCAAACAGGTTCAAAACAGAGGCACAACATCTGAGGTACGGCCGCACGTGCAGGAGTGACTGTCGCACGTGCGGCAAAGGGTGCTGCATGTGCGGGAAAAACCCTCTGCATGTATGGAAAGCTAAGGCACTGTTTGGCTGCGAGGTAAAGGTCGCACGTGCAAGAATGGGCCTCTGCACATGCGGAAAGGAATTTTCTGTTCATTTTATGCTCCCACTATGTATAAACCTGATTGACATTAAACAGACATAAAATGTATAGTTTGTCAAGTACGTAAAATTACGAGATCCTAATTAACGACCTCAATGTTACACAATTCGGCCTTAATCACATCCCCCCAACTTACAACTTGCTAGTCCTCAAGTAAGGAAAAACAAAGAAAAAATAAGTAAATTTAAGAAAATCTAACCATCTCCTCTTTTGTAGGAAGAATGGTTGCATTTAGCATATACAACAAGCCTTTAAACAACAAAGTTACCCCAAGTGGACGAATAAAGTCTCGTGAGGGTTTCCAAAAATGATACCTACAAACATTAATATATTCATATCTATCTAGCAACAATTAATCACACTACACCACTCAAGAATTAACACATGTGCCACTACAGTGCAATATTAAGACATGATGAGTCATTGAAGACACATTAGACAAGTATGAAGGACTCTATTGAGTAAAGACCGCAATTCAGTATTACACAAATCATGTTCTATATACTTGTAAATGTTAGTCGAACACATCATCAGTAACCTTAGTGTAACGTGTAATCTGCATAACTAGTTAACTGATCACTATAATAGCCCAGTGTAACTCATAATAACCCCTGACATATACAGACAAGATTAAACTTTTGTAACTAGGATTCTCAAAATGATTTTTTTATTTTTTTTTTTTATTTTAAGACTGTGTAATGTCCTAATCCATTAAGCTTTCTAATCAACTCTTGTAGCAAGCATTGGGCCAATGACTCCCAAACCAGACGGTTTTAGGGTACTAGGTGTGAAGACACCCCTACAGGCTTAATAACTCGAGTTGAAAAAGCTACGAATCTAAACAAATATTTTTCTTTATTTTCCTTAACTATGCAATGTCTAGGTCCCTTAAGCTTTCTAATTAACCTATGTACCAAGTATTGGGTCAATGACTTCAAAACTAGACAGTTTTAGGACACTTGGTGTAAAGACACCCCTACGGCTTTAATAACTCAAGTTAAAGAGACTACGAACCCAAACGAGTCAAGTGTTTTATTTATTTATTTTGAGAATCAAGGCTAATCATTTATTTTTTCCTGCAACACTAGAAATTATTAATGATGTACACCAGGAATTATAATAGAGACGCCACTGCTATGATAGTGTGTTCATGTGAGTCAAGGCATACTCATGATCAATGTACTAATATCACATCCACAAACAACTACTTAGTGCAAACATTACATGCGAGTGTTTACCTAATAAACTCTTTTCATACAAGTCTACTATGCTCCCCAATTAACATATGCAAATATCATCACTCTACTAGCAACAAATCAACATCAAGTGAAGTAGTGCAATCAAGTGAAACAGGTATTGTAGACGTCCCCGAACGCCCCGGGAGGGATAAGGTCCCGTTCTGTTCATTTGGGGTTCACTACAGTTCGGACTCTCAAATTGTCACGGTTCTAAATCTGAACCAAAGAGTCTAAATCCGGCAAATCGTTTTGAGAAAACAGATTTTGAAAGAAGTGCCAAACATGGACTGCTTTGCCAGATACAGAGTCGCCACCTAAATATTTTATTTTAGGGGAAATTTAGGAAACCCTAACTCGTTGCCTAAGGCCACGTGTCCGTCATCACCAAAGTTGCCTCGGCTCGGGAACTTGGGTACGATTGGGGAAGGTCACTTCGTGAGCACCCCCGCTTGCCCGATCAAAGATCGGCCTCTACTAACCATGATATCTATTTTTGAAAACATTATGTGTTCTTATTCCGGTTATTAGCCTAGATTTACTATGTGATGCGCACAGCATACAAGTATAGACTGAATCGCCTGAATTGGAACAAAACATTTCATGTTTGTTTGTTTGAAAATGGTTTGATGGTGCTACTCACAAGTAGGCTAAGACGTGGATTTGCCACCCTCGGGTGGGCTTAGAAAAACATGATTTTGCCACTATCTAGTGGGCTTAAAACACACATTTGATGAATTGTTCCAATTCAAATAACCCAACCTTCACCCACAGGCATTCAGGCAGTTATATCACATAAGCATATAGCCTCATAGTAAGCATGTTATTCATGGCAGTCACTCACACGCATGCAAGGGTGCTAAAGCATAAAACTTACCGAGTACTCCAAGCCAAAACAGAAGCTAATTAGAAATCCATGCATGATCCTAATTATACGGAAATGCCTAATGCAACACATGCAAAAATGCAACTATAGCAGGCTCGGCTATTCTAAACATGGCATATGAAATGCTACAGCTAACATGTATTCAACTTAGAATTGAAAATACAATGCAGTTAGTATGATGCGTCGAGCCTGGTGCATGCAAAACAGATGAATAAATGCAAACATGCTATCATACTGTATGCTAATTGAAACATGCCCTGATCTAACCATCATAAGCGGGTAAATAAAAGGGAGAAAGACGTGGGATTGGAAGACATACATCACACACACGCACACTTATTACAATATTGCCCTCGCGCGGAGGGTCCGAATAAATAATATACAGTCCGGAATGAATATTACAGTCCAAATATGTACAAAATCCTAATTAATTAACAAATTAAATTAGGAAAGCAATAAATTGGCATGCAAGCCAAGGACTGCCTCAACTCTGCTTCGGATGATGGATAATGCATGCTTGAGTTGCCTTGTGCGGAAATCCACTGCGATGCCCCAATTAGCCTCTGTTTGCAATTATTTTCGAGATGCGTGCCAAGCTTCGGAAGGCTGCTGATTCTTGATTTGCTGTAATAGAGGGCAAGAAAGGGGCATGGCAAAGTATTTTCGCATATGTATGCATGACTACCCTTCAAGGAGTGTAGTCCTCAATCCTCGTGCCACCAATCACGCATCTCGATGCATGATGGCCGAGGAGTCGAATTGCACGACTCAATATGAAATGAATGCACATATGGACACAACAAGGCCTAGACTCCATCATGGATAATCCAGAGTGTCGGCGACCGAGAAATTGAGACACGTTCCGTCACTCGGAGTACGAAACGCCCCTCGTTTCCCGTGCTCGGGCTAAGTCCTATCCCCAACACGATGCAATATGCATGACATGCATGAAATGCAACTAAGATACAACCTATCATGCACAGTGCTAGGAAATGGCATACACGATGCACGAGATAACATGGCATACACAATCCGCTAACATACGGCAGCATACACAATGCTATGAAATGAAATGGCATACACAATGCAATATGGGCTTACACCAACGTGAGTGGACCTTAGTCGCACTCACATAGGAGGCCATGAGATGAAAAATGAGACACTCGAAATGCGTGCACACATGTACGCAAACTGATGACCGATCCTAAAGCACCAAATGCCACTCTAACAAGACATGGCAAGGCATGGAATATGGCATACTAGCATGCAAATTTCAGTAGCAAAATATGATGCAAAACGGCCCCAGAACATGGAAACATGGCACCCGATACATGGAATGAGACCCGAAACATGAAATTAGGTACATGGAATGACCTATGGCTATGCAAAGCATGCATTATTCGAACATGAAGTATAAAGACAGAATCAAGACAGTCCCAAAATAAGCATATTTACAATTTTAAGCAAGGCCAAAAAGTGAACACAAATAGGGCTAAGTTAACATGCAAAAATGGCCCCAAAAGAGAGATAATGAAGCAAGTAGCAGCTGCTGGCCCTAAATGGCCAAGAGCCCTTCAACAAAGTTGAAGAGGGGCTCAAAACATAGTATTTTACAATTAGTGACCAAACCCAAAACAGTGCACATGCGAGCTTAAAATACTATGCAAAATAAGGCCTAAAGAGAGGTTTAAACACAAAGAGCAAAAAGAGAGCTTCAAACAGCAAAAGTCCCTGATCAAACATGAAGAGAGGGTCAAAATAAGGCTATTTACAGTTTGGACCAGAACCCAAAAACACAAGCACAAGGGGCTAACAAAACATGCAAAAGTAAGGCCAAAAGAGGGATGAAGAGGCAAGTGACAAAAGGAAGCCTCAAACAGTGAAGAGCCTTTCAACAATATTGAAGAAGGGCTCAAAATAATCCACTTTTCAGTTTATGACCAAGCTCAAAACAGTTTACAGATGAGCCTAAAATACTATGCAAGAAAGAGGCATACAAGAGAGGTAAAGAAGCAAGTGGTAGCTAGAGGCCTTAAACATGGAAGGACCCTTAATCAATCATGAAAAAGACATCAAAACATGACTATTTTCAGTTAGGGTCGGAGCCCAAAAATGTAAGCAAGTATGGCTTAGATATAGAACAAAATAAAGCACAAAAGAGGGAGAATGAAGACTCACCCTTGTAGACCAAGCTTCAGCAGCTCTTGGCTTGAGAAAAGGTGCTCCTAAGCTTTGAAAAACCAGCTCCAAGTGTTGGAAAGGATGGTGGTGGTGTGGTGCTATGCGGTGGTGTAGAAAGGGGTGTGGGATTTGAGGGGTTTTGAGAGTTGGAGTGTAGAGGGAGAGAGATACAATGCAAGAGCCTTAAAGAAAATTTTGTAACCCTTCAAAAGGGAGCTGGAGGGCCTGGATATATAGGCAAGAGTGTGGGAAAAAAGGAGGGGAAATGGATTTCAAATTTCCTCCCAAAAGTGCAGCCCTCCGGATACACAATCTGGGGGAACACAAAATACAAATTTGTAATGTACCAGAGGAGGGGAGCAAGGCCGGCATGGTATTTAAGTTGTAGGTGGCCGGCTGGCCCTCCCCATGGCCGGTCGGCCAAGGGTCAAAAGGTTCAAGCAGTATTAGTGGCCGGCCACCCCAGATTAGTGGCCTCCCATGTGTGCACAACACAACCATGTGGTCAAAAACTGGAGAAAGTAAACCATGAGAGAGAAAAGCCCACTTTTTGGAGGGGTTCAAAAAGGTCAAACACAATTACTGGCCGGCCATGTGATATTGGTGGCCTCTCAGGTGTGTACAACACAAATATGTGGTTTAGGGTTGGAAAAAGTGGTTAGGATGGTCAACATTGGCTTTCAAGTGAGAAAAATAGGCGACGGAGGGCGATGGAGGAATAAAACTGGTTGTCAAAATAATTACTGGCCTCCCACCCTTCTACGACCTTCCTAACAATGAAACAGAGGTCCCTGCAAAAAATGAACTCAAACCGATGCAAAATGGAGGTTCGGGGGCCGAAACGCGCAGCCCGAGGCCCCGAAAACTGACTGTTAGGCACCGGAAGTGGTGTTCGACCACGAAGTTAATTTTTCGGACCGCAGTGTCCTTCAAAAGGGAGTAAATGAGATGCATGCCAAAAATCGGAGCAAACAGAGGTGGTTAAGCGGTCCCAAACCGAGGCACAAGGCCAACGGCTCCGAAAAATCGGAAACCGGACTCCAAACGGGCAAAATGGCCTACGACCACGAAACGTAGCCTACGGCCATTGAGAGATGATCTACGAGACCTCTCCCTCCCTTCGAGAAGAGAAAACAGAGAAAACAGAGCTTGGTTCGCAAACCAAGGCAAAGCATGAAAGAGTCCGGAAGTCCGAAGGCGAGGCTCGCAGCGGAGACTCTGAAACCTCTGAACGAGCATGATATGCGACATCACCAAGCGCTCAATCGGTGACGTCTGAGTCTTAAGGTCAGTAAAAAATGGGGTGTCTACAGGTATAAGCATGAATTATGAGCCAAATAGAAATGCACAAAACAAAATACCCTTATCTCCAAACTTGAATATGACATTGTCCTCAATGAAAGCAAATGCGAAGTAAATAAGAAAGAGAGAATATTACCAAAGATTATAGGTGCACATCCAGGTAGGCAAATAGTAACACACACACACACCTTCTTTTTTTTTTTTGTTAGAAAGAGAAACAACTAAAAGGAAAATATAAAACTAAAAGAGACAAAGAAAATGATAGCCTAGTGCTATTGAAAATCCGGTGGTGGCGATGGGGGGAAATGCTGGGCAAATAAGGTGGTCATCAATGACCGTGTCTCGAATGCTTCGTCCTGAACCTAGGCACTGAGCTGGTCAAACTGTTGTTGGCTTGACGCTCGATATGTATAAAAATTAATTTGCAGTGGTGCAACTGACTGCTGAATATCGAGTTGGCGAGCGTTGAGCTATTCGAAAGTCGCTTGAGAATAATCCCGATGCACCTGAAAATCCATGCGCAACCCAATGATAATCTGGTGGTGATCACGAAGAGTATTGTGGACCTGATCCACAGAGTGCTGAAGCTGTAAGTACTCCTCGCGAGTCATATAAAATGGGTCCCCTTGGGGTGGCACAGGGGAGGCAGTAGGAGGTGGTTGGTCATGAACGGGGTCTTGGGCTTCATCAACCAGTTGTGGTGGTGAGGATGGTGGTGACAGTGGCAGCGGTGGTGCCGAGGAGGACGAACCTCTGACCTTTTTGGAGGCCCAGGTGGATAGCCGTCTACTCATATCCTGCACACACCAAAAGCAAATACACACACACCCGTGGAACCAACATGAGAATAAGAATATGATATTAAAGCACAAGTCTGCCCACTATGTACCACATGCAATTCTCATTATTTTTCTTTTGCTTTTTTTAATTTTTTTTTTAATGAAACCTACAAGAAAATTAAGTAAACGAGACACATTAACATGTTATTTAAATATTGAATGATTAAACAAATAAAAATGAACTATACAAACAAGTAATGAATTAAACTAACAAAGAATAATAAGATAATGAAATAAATAGAATAAATAATAATCAAAATAAAATAATAATAATAATAATAATAATAATAATAATAATAAACTAAATAAATAATAATAATATTTTTTTTTTTGTGTGTAATAAATGAAACCTAAAATAAAATAAAATAAAATAAACACGGTAACATTTTATGTAAATATTGAATGATTAAACAAATAAAAATAAACTACACTAACAAGTAACGAATTAAACTAACAAAGAATAAAAAAAATAAGAATTAAACAACTAAATAAATAAATAGACAACCTAAGAAATAAAATGAATTAGAAAAGCTAAGTATGAGGATTTTTTTTTAATTTTAAATTTAATTTAATTTTTTTATAATTTGGGCTGCACGTGCGCCGAAGATGGCCGCACGTGCGGTGGTTGTCTTCTTGGCTGCCCAAATTTATTTATTTTTTTTTATTTTTTTTTTTATTTATTTAAGGATGAACAATATATCACTATAAAACTATTTCTAAATCTCACTACAATGGAAAATTGAAAGAAGAAATATAAAGTTTTAAACAAAAAGAAATGATTTACCTTTAAATAGTGAAGAAAGAGAGAGAAAGAAGGGAGATTCACCGAAAAAATGTTGGAGATGCTGGTCAATTGATGAAGAGAAAATTAAGATGCTGGTCAAGATGTTTAAGATGCTGGTCAATTGATGAAGAGAAAATTAAAACATCATCAATATACGAAAGGGTAAATTATGTATAGGGATTAAAAATATCATTCATGATATGTTGAAATTCTGATGGGGCATTTTTTAAACCAAATGGCATGACATTCCATTCATAATGCCCAAAGGGTACAGTAAAAGCGGTTTTGTATCGATCCTGTTCAGCAATTTCAATTTGCCAATATCCTGATTTAAGGTCAAATTTAGAGAAAATAATCGCATCCTGTAATCGATCCAAAAGATCTTTTTTGTTCGGAATAGGATAACGGATCCATTTTAATTTGTCATTTAATGGTTTATAATTGATTACAAGGCGGGGAATGCCTCGTTCAATTTCAGCATTTTTGTTAACATAAAAGGCGGTACAGCTCCACGGGGAGTGACTGGGTCGGATTAATTTCTTATCAAGAAGATTTTGAATTTCTGTTTTACACGATTCCATATATTCCTTTTTCATTTGGCTAGGGCGAGCTCTAGTTGGAATATATTTCTCATCAAAGTCTGGTTCATAGGGTAATGTGACAGTATACTTTTTGCGATTCCAAAAAGCATTAGGAACATTACCACAGACTTCTGTTTGAAATTCTGATTCAATTAATTTAATTTTCTGTTGGAAAGATGGTTGTTGTAATCTCTGTTCTGTTGTGAGAAAATGAACTTCTCTTTGTAACAAATTTATCTGATTTTGTTTACAAGTAACTAGATCCTTAATTTGATCTAATTCTTTTGTATACGATTGTGTGATGAATTCAAAAATTACTGATTTTCCTTGCAATTGAGAATAAATTCCTGTCTGGTCTATTTTCTAGATGGGCATCAAAAGACACAAAAATGGAGTGCCTAAGATGATATTTGTAGCAAGATTTTTTACTAAAACAAAAGATGTTGGAAGACATAAATCTTGGTTACAAATATATGCTTCTGGAACTTTATACCTGATTTGGAGAGAATTTCCACTGGCACTGGTTAGACTTTGGGTAGTCTTTTCAAAATATCTAGTCGGGACGATGCCTTCTTGAATGCAGTTCATATCTGCACCACTATCTACTAAAGCAATAGCATCTTTAATCATGAAATCTGGTTTTATTAAAAATGAGATTTAATATACCATTTCTGAAATGTTACTTGGTTTACAAGTAACAAGTACGGAGTAGAGGATTCTGGTCCAGATTTTTGTTCAGGTTTTGGTTCATTAATTTTAATGGTGCCTTCTGTCTGTTGTTTTAACTGTAGACGGAGATTTTTAATATCTTTAGTATTTGCTTCACTGGCAGTTTGCAAATGTTTGACTTCTGTTTTCAAAATGTTAATTTCCATTTTTAAATCCTGAAGTGTTGTTGGTTGTTCTAAAATTGGTTTAGTTTGGATCCTGTTGATTACATTTTTAAGGCTGTAAGCATAGTCTGGTATAGGAGGAGTATCCTGAATTGTCTGTTGGTGTTCATAACACATTTTTAAATATTTGATTTTAATTTCTGGATCTTGGATCTGGTCTGCAACAGCAAGCATATCCTTTTGCGTATCTGTTAACATATTTATGCTGCTGGGTTCACCTAAATGTAAACCATTCATTTCAACGATTGATTTCCAATAATTGATTTCTGATAAATGTTCCTGATTAGAACTACAGGGGCAAGCTTCGTCTGGTTCGTCTTCACTAGTGGAAGTGGAATATAACTGATTGATTTCTTCTTCAGAAGGGGTGTCTTCATCAGAGGAATTTTCTTCAGCTTCAAGAGCTTGAATTATCTGTTCTTTAATGCCTAAATCAAGATTTAATTCATTAACCTTAGATTTAGCCTTTGATTTACATCTATTAGCATAATGTCTTGTTTGGCCACATTTGTAGCATTTTATTTCTGATTTATTTTTACTTTTACTTTTAGGTTTACTGGTTGATTGTTTTGAATAAAACTTCTTAGTGGTTTGCGGATGGCTAGTCTTATGAGACTTTTTTCGGAAAGTCTTAGAAGATTTCTTACGAGAAACCTGACGAGGTTTACTTGGATATTTAATGGCTGGTTCATAGGCAAATTGGTCACAAAATTCACCTAATTCTTTTCTTCCTGTTAAATTTTGTTGTTTCATTTGGTAATGAAGTTTAAGGTCATTACATAAGGAAAGACCTTCATCGGTGATTATGGAGCACAATTGTCCATAAGTATACTGTTCGTAAGGAATAGACATCCGGTCATGGCGGTCCCGAAGTTTTTTCCTAACTCGTTCTGCAAAAAGGGTAGGAAGGCCATCAACAAATTGGGCTTTCCAATGAGTGCTGTTAGCATCAGGGCGTTGCATGACCTTAAGCAAGAAAACATCCTTATACCATCGAAAATGGGTAAGCGATGGACAACGAAGGTTCTGTAAAAGCTCACGACTACGATCATGAGCACTAGTACTGGTGCCAACAAAATGGAGAATGATGGTCTGAATAAGGGTATAAACAGCATCCTGCTGTTGGACAGGCTGGTTGGTAGTTGGATCAACTTCAACTTTGACGAAATTAAGGATTTCTAACTGTTGGGTAAGGGTGAGAACATTGTCCCACCATCCTTTAAGAGCGCCGGTAAAACCATTAATAATAAACTTAGCAATGGCTTGGTCATTATTACTATACTGACGACATACGGTTGCATACATCAACATTTGATGTAATTTCTTATAAATTCCATATTCAGATTCACCATCTATATTCCATTCATAGATAGTTTTGCCATGATAGCTTCCCTGATCATTAATATAAGTTTCTTCATAAAGAAGAGCAGGAGGAGTCGGTCGGGAGTAATAGTTCTGGGTAGGTGGTAACATAGCAGGTTTGGAGGAACTATACGAATGTAATTTATTAACGGATGTGGGTTCCTGGAAATTCATTTGAATTTCATGGATCTGGGCTGGAGATAGATCATCATCTTCTACTGGTGGTTCAGCTCTAAGCATCTGAATTGATCCACTGGATTGTCCAGGTGGCTGAGATACAGGAGGTCGAACATTTAAAGTTTGCATCTTCTGTAAGAGGGTGTTCATAAACTCTGTATTAGAGGCTTTTAACTTAAAGTTGCTAATCTCTAATGGTGGTTTAATGGATACTGGATGTAGAGCAGCAGACCCTGTAACTGGTAATGCCAAGGTTCAATCCTTAAAGGTAGAAATAGCTTCTTCAATTCTGGTTAATTGTTTACTCATAGTTTGACAGATTAAATTGGTATAATTGTTCTGTTTTACCATCAATCCTTCGGTTTTAGTAAATTTTTCTGATTGAGCATCAATATAAGCTGTAGCTAATAAAGGTTGACGGGTAGTCTCACCATTAGGAACTAACTCTAATGCTTGAGGAGGTGGATGTAAAGCATGAATAGCTTGTCCTTCAGTTGTAGTCCAGGTTTTATATTGATCTTCAATAGCATTTAACTGGGGTTGGCTAACAGTTTGGTACCATTCGACAAATGGTAGTATTTTCTGATGTAACTCAAGATGTTGATAAAATTGAGTTTTATAGTTTTCTAACTGTTCAGGGGTATGACTGGTAAAATACCATTTTCTAAATTCTTTATATTTTTCTTGGTTAAATTCCTGGTTAATTATTTGTCTATTTTCACTTCTTGGTGTAAAATCCATTAAATGTCAAAATTCATATCACTGGCCGTTGGGCTATCTGGTTGAGGTGGTGTTGTATAAACACCATGAGGAATGCGATTTTGGGATAATCGAATCCCTTGGATTTCTGAAGTCATAGGGTCATCCTGGGGGTCACTAGGTGGCCTACTAGGAGGTCGAAAAGGTATCTGTTAGAAGACAGAGTCTACAGATTGTCTGCTGGATTCTGGAAGGTTTACCCTATAGGGTGGAATGGATTGTGAACGATGTTGTTTTTTTGGGAGTGATAGTAGAAAAGTTGGCGGGTTGTAAAAAATATTACAAATCATTTTAATAAAAAAAAAAATAGAACTTATGACATTTGTTATGAAACGTTGCGATTATGTTATGCGATTATGTTAAGAATGTTATAATAGGGTGCATGCACTTTTTAGGTAACATAATGACAATGTTCCATACCAAATATTACAAGACATAATTTTCTTCACTAAAATGATATGTAATTTTTTCTCACTACAGATAATTTGTACAATTTAATCACAACATTTATATTTGTAACTTTCATTTTAATATGTACATTATAAATTCTTTATTTATAGTTTTTATCATAAAGTACTATAGCATAATAAATATTCGTAAATTTCACTAGTAAAGATCATAATTTTTTGATTGTCGGTTACTTTTTAGGGGTATTCACAGTAAATATTTTCAATTTTTACATGCATATATGCTAACGTCATTTTAATAATTGAAAAAAAAATCAAAATAAAAAAATAAAATAAGACAGGTTGGCCATCTGTGCATTGAAATTTATTTGGCGTGTGTGCAAACGATCCGTAGAAGGAATATCTGGACAAAGGATTCTAACCGCACATTTAAAACTCAAAAACTCAGCAACTCAGCTACGCATTGCACATTTGAAACTCAAAAACTCTGTAACTCTACATTTGGTATCTTACACAACTGTACATTTTTTTTGTTTTTTTTACTCTTGTATTCATAAATTGAAGTCATTTTAAAAATTTAGAATTTGTGAGTAACAATAATCTTTGGGAGCCTGCTTGCGCTTAAAGGTTTAGAGCTTTAGGCCCTATATTTGCTAACAAAATACTCACACTTAAAAGCGGTTGGAAAATCCTATTTTAAATTTTATTTGTCTAAGGTCCAAAGGATTTATCATGTCCTTGAGCACATACTTAAGTGAGATGACTAAAATACTCCTTTTATATATAGGGCAAACTTCACTTTACCCCTTTCTTGTTTGGGCTATGTGTGGATTATCCCCTAATATTCGGATATCACCACATAACCCCCTTGTGATT